TGGTTGCGGAAGGTTTAAGCCCTTCGATCCAAGGTCAGAGCCACGTATCGATTAGAAATCTTTCCCACTTGTCTTCACTGTTTTTGGAACTAAGAGCGGCAGCTACTGCCGGAAACTTGCTGCGATTCCTTTGGATACCTCTCTCTACTACAAAGTGTTGTCGTGTATTCGTGACAGGTGGTTCTTTCAACGGATAGACTGCGGATTCTTCGTTCTACGGATACGCGTTTGCTTATAAGTGAGTGGAGAATCGAAATTTTGGCGCAATATGCAAGCAAAAAATTAACACTGGAACTATTGAGCAATTAATGTGATTTATTTATAATATACTTTACGATTTCTAATAGAAGCATTTTCATCATTTCAATGCTCTTAACTAAAAACTTTTGAAATGGGCCGTTGTGATTCATTTGATATTTTTAATATTAAGTATTCATTCTTTTTTTATTTCCAGTTTCCTAATTTCCTAATTTGTAATCTTCTGATTTTCTAATTTTCTAATTTTCTGATTTTTGATTTTGTAGTTCTCTAGTTTTCTATAATTTCGCAGTCCTCGGGTTCTCCAATTCTCTAGTTCCCTACATCAAAAATTCGCCACTCCAAGAATTTCCGAAAATCCAATCGACAGAAAAATCCACAGTCCGCCGGAAACGATTCGAAGTGGTAGTGTCGAGCCTAGACCCGCCTGCCCGACCGACATCTCCTAACTTAGGTTGCTCTCGTCGACATTTTTCCTTTATCCGTTCCCCGTCCTTCCTCTTCGATCCCGATCCTCTCTGCACGATCGCGCGAGATCGATTTACAGTGTAGCGCACGATCGAATCAACCATCCGCGTTTACCGATTCACCGTTGTCCAAGACGAGGACAAGGTCCACGTAACATTTATCTCTCGCACGGAACCCTTTTAACGGAACGCAGTCTGAACTTGTTTGTTAATCGAGTTAAACATCCAAGTGTTGAAATGAGTACGCGTGCCCGTTCAACGACAGATAAAGAGATCCTTTAGTTTAGTAGCGTACAAAAAAACTAATTGCTAAACTCGTCAAACACATCCGTGACACGTGGGTGAGGTGACAGCATTGCGAGCACTTGTTGCGTGTGTACATGTTGTGCGTTGCTTTGTCACGGTGTCCAAATAATATGAAATAATCGCGTCTATTTTCATCTTGTTCAACTACTGTCACACGGTCCACGACTTGTGGAAACACGGCAAACATTGGCGCGCGTGAACGAAATAGAAAAAAAATGTACGCGATTGCAGCAACCTAAAGAAGCGTCAGCGTGAGAGGTCGATCCGCGTTCCACTCGTCCAAGAAACTCCATTTTCTCTACGATCTTCTAATTCCAATCGACAGTGTCGAGAAGTTCGGACGCGTGGAACGACAAATCGATATTAATACATGAAACAAGCAGCGTTTTCGTTACTGATTACTGTAACCCATTTCTCGCTGGTGTTGGTAAACATTGTTTTAGGACGAAGATTCGTTGCAAACTTTCTTCATAAGAAGCTGAATTACATGTCGAACTCGTAAATATTAGAAAAGTAGAAAAGATCGATATCCTGTCGCGTGAATAATTAAATTACTTGCTTGTGAATTTCTTGCTTGTTAATATGATGTGGTAATGTAATATAGTATAATAATCATTGATCGAATAATCGAAGACTAATCAGCTTTCTCTGATCGTTTCTTATTTCGTCGATCGAAGCAAAGATGAGAATCATGTAAAAGTGGAGCGATTCCTTTAATAAATATCATGTATATTCGTGCGAAGAAATGTTTCTGTTCGATTTTGTGCAAAATAAATAGTCGATCAATGTTCAGTCTCGGGAGTTCATTAGAGAATCTCCACGTATTTTTCTCCTATTCCGGGATCCAGCGAAAAGTGGGTTCGTGATTATTGTATTCCGATCTCATATACTTTGTAGTCGGTCGTTCGTGACCGACCGGGCTGTATATCGTCGCTCCGTCGAGCCGGAAAATCGATACGTGCTCATTGCTCGACCGAGATAAACCATTAAAAAATAAATGTCAGACGTACGGATGGATCACAGTGTATGGAAGAGAAAGAAAGAGAAAAAAAGAAGACGAAACAGAGTGAAAATAGAGGTTGGACCGGACGGAAAAAATATGTAATAAAATCAGCGTGGTGGCCTGATAATGTGGACGAGTATGTGAAACAGGAACAATAGACACTGTGAACGAAGATGTTCAGAGGTGTGTGCAGCTGAAGATAAAGAGGATCATCGATATACATCCCGAATGAGTGAAGATAACAAAGAATAGAATAATGCCGATGAACCGGTTTACATTTGTTCCGTGATCGTGCGTGCATCGTGTCGCTGTGAAATGTAACAAGTAGAAATGACCCTTTATATGTTAGTTTATAATATTGTCGATGTACAATTGCTGCACAAGAATATTTCATCTCGATATTTTCGTGTATATTTAGATTTAATGGAAATTGGCAAATGCGATTAGAGTAATAGAAGAATAAATAGATTTTTATGTAAATTGTAATTTATATAGTTAAGGTTTTGTTCATATATCCGACGATTTATATAAGCAAGGTTTTATTTAAGTAGTTAACAGTTTAATTAAAATTGTCTTTACATAGTGAACAATTTATATAGACAACTATTAGCTTGAATATTTCAACTAACTTGAACTATAATGTGAATCTATGTGTAGCTATGTATACATAAAAATCCAACCTTTACTTTATTTTCAGTTCTCCGAGTGCTGAATTGTCAACGATGAAATATTTTTGGCCTTGGTACAGTGCTCATGAAGAATAAAACATATACGCGTCGTACAGTGTCAGCGAAGTAGCAATAAATCCTCGTACAACAAATTAAGCGTGCTCGTAGACAAATGTAAACCGTGCCACCGGCGTACGAGTGTGCACAGGTAAATACTAGCGAGTAATCCTTGCTGATTTTATATGGTACTTACTGTCGAAGTTTAAGGAAATGGTGGCGTTAGACTCGCCGAGCTCGTTCTTCGCGGTGACCTTGTATTTGCCAGCATCCTCGACGGTCACGTTTTTAATTTCCAGCGTAGCGAAGTACGAGTGGCCATCTTTGTCGACGGTCAGCTGGAATTTTCGTGATAAACATTATACTTTCCGTGCGAAACAGAATTAAATCGTGAATATCGGTAATCATTAGTAAATAGTATTAAGTTTAGTCTGAAACGCGACGACAGATGTTCCGGAGAAAAAGAAACAATTTTACGAGTTTACCAAATCGTTAGATTAGTAAATAGTGGAATAATAAAGATAAATAGTAAAATAAATAAAATAATATAGTAAATAAAGGTTATTTCGAAACGCAATGAACATTCTAGACGAAAACAACTTTACGAAACAAAATTTCATTAGAATTTTTAAGTTCGCCAAGTTTATGTTCGCGAAATAATTAATTACATACAGTAAATATAGAAGGACTTTATCTCGAGATAAAGAGAATATCTTACGAAAAAGAAATTTCACTAGAATTTAAGTTCGCGTGATTAATCAAATAATTAATCAAATAAATGAATGTAAATAAATCAATCAAATAAAGAATATACAATCTATTCCAGAATAAAAAAATATACCAACAAAAAAAGAAAGAATTCGCTAGAATTTAAGTTCGCCATGCGCGACCGCACGGGTCGAGACGTGATTCGCTAACCTTGTGCCTCGGTGAGTCTTTGACCATACTTCCATCGTGAAACCACGTAACTTTTGGCGTGGGATCGGCTGTGATGCGACATTCGAAAAGTAGTCGTTTACCATCGTCTTCCTGTCTGATTGCGGGCTTTTTCGCGAAAGTTGGCGCGATGCCGTCGATTTGTCTGCAAACCGCCGTTCAACAATTTACACGAGCCCGATCATCGGTGTTGTTACATTTGCAAAACATATCACACTGAACACACGGTTCTATTTAACAGCACATTGTCGCATTCGTTGCGACACACGGGCGGAACGATTTCACAGGCGTTATTTAAACGAATGACGAATATCGAGTGGAATAGATCAACGGTTAGTCAGTCGCAACGAAATTACCTCATTCTTAATTTACTTCGTAAGTCATGATCGTAGAACAGAAATGGACATATACGAATCATTTATAGGTTGAAGTAGCTGACTCCACTTTTTTCATATTTTCGAATCTCAACATTAACATTGATTTTTTTATATATATATTCAATAAATCTTTCTACTTTCTCTTTTATACCATTAGTCACTTTGGACAGTAAATAATCAAGCTCTGTAAAATTCGAATTTAAAGGTAACAGTTTCGAATATATTCATTTTTCAGCAGTAGTTTAATGAAAATGGTATTTCAAAGTACCTTCAGAATCGTGCAAGTCTGTTAGACTGTTTACAGTTTATCCTTCTTCCTGTCATTAATTTATAAAATGAACGTTCAATTTGATTAATATCAAGGGCTGTTTGTCTGTTTATTTACCGAAAATAAACTAAATAAATTTAAGACAATCAAGCTATAGATTACAGTTAAATGACTCATCCAAGTTCCAATATCTTCGAAGAGTCGCAACATTTCTATTAAATTTATCTATTGAAAATATTTAACATATTCACGTCGAGACATGTTTCTATATGTTTAATCATAGATCGTGATAATAATAATATTTGCAAAAATAATGTTCAAGTGCATTCTTCTGTTACGTCTCTAGTTTCCTAATTTTATTCGCTAATTGAGTCACTCAGAAGCCAATGCGGTTAAGTCCATTTTTTTATATTTTCTGACTTTTGTGAATTTTAGTAGAATAAATAATATTCTGTTTAATTATTCAAGGATTTACTCGTTGCTTCGTTTTCTTCTAAATCATAAAGCCATTCTTTTTATATCTTCTGAACGTGTACAATAAATTTTAGAAGCTAAAACATTAATTTTCTCAATCTTCGTTTTCTGGCCTTAACCGCATCGGCTTCTGAGTGACTCAATTGTGGGTAAATATAAATAAACAATTTGGTAAATAATTTACTCATTAATGTTGAGTTATTTTAATATTACAAATTAGCTGTGTGCCACCGGTTAAACAGACCACGAATTACCTGTTACTAATTAAATGCGACGCATTGTTCCGTCTGCTTCGAGTGTCTCGCAATAGCCGCGTTATTTATTTCGCAGCTTTATTAACCTTTTGACCTACAATATCCTGTCACACCGGTGACGAAAGTTTTAATCGTTAACTTTCGAAGCAAACGTAAACATAGAATAAGTATCAACATTTTTTCTGTCTCTAATAAATGATTAGCGGCAAAGTAGTTGTTTCGATCATCGGTATGAAATAAATGAGCGTGCACGATCGTAAAGAAGTATGCCAACGCGCGTCAGATCCGCAAACGTCGCGCGTCGCGCAAGGATGTTCCGTGTCCCGTTTTCGTCGACGGTTGCCGCCGTTAGTTAAGGAGCCGACCGCGAAGACGAAAGAGACAAACCTTGGCATACACAGGAATAAGACTGTTTTCCAAAAGCCATTGTTAACCAGTCACTAATAAATCCGTGTTTGCTCATGGTACAATAGGCGATTACTGAAATACTATCTTGTAGAATTTATGATTGCAACATCGTCTGCTGATCTCGAAAATATGTGTTCAAGTCGCCTTTGCACCGGTAACATTTCGATTACGAGCTAGTAATTTAAATTTTGACAGCTTCCCAGTGTTGGCAATCGAATTGCGAAAATAACCGGAAGCTATTATTTCAGTCAACAATAACTTAACGCTTTCGTTCTTCCTCGCAGAATAAGTTACACGATGTTATTAGGCTGTCTCAAAAGTTCCTTTCGTTTCATTAACATTTAAACTGCCGTATTATCCAACTTTGGATGACGCAACTTTTCGAACAAATTTATGAAGTATCTCCGCGACATATCAAAGAAGCAATCGCTGTGCAAAGTCTTGATTTTTCAATGACCGTTCCATTAGAAAATAGTCTGAGTTGGGATTTCGATGAGTGCTGATTGTGCAGTCGAGGCGTTAACGCGTAATGTGTACACAATACTTTCAGTTTCACGTTACCATATAGTAATATATGCAACATATTACTCATCTTACATTTTACGTTCAATTGAGTACGATCCATAGTGATCAATTATCTTCCTTCATCCTTCAATATTCATTAGGACCTAATATATTCCAGAGTATATCTTCATCTATGTTTGTTTGCGTGCATAATATGAATCAACAGCGCGTATCACTCGCGATGCACAATAAACAGCAAGACAGAACACCGTGCATCGCGTAGACACGATGCACGGGACAGTGAACGTGTTAACTATCCGTTGGAAGTCCGAGGATCCGCTCGATTATCTCCGCGACCGACGATGCCAGGAATAACTTTTCTGTTTTGTTTAGTCAGCGGCTGTCTACGAATGAGCGGTATCATACTGCGGCCCCGTTGTTACCTAGCAGAAAGGGAATCTCTAATAGACTTTAGTGGACGGCCCGCCTATAAAGAGCCAACTTAAAACGCGGGTTCAACGGCCGCCGGCCTGTTCATTCAAGGCGCAAGTCGGTTTTCGAAACCGGGCCATCTTGGAAAACGCTTCCGTCATCGTGAAAAGACGCTTTATCCTGTGATTAATCGCGTGCCGAGTGAATTCCATCCGCAGACTTGTGTCGGAAGAAATGTTACTTGGATAAGTGGTCGAGCTTTTTGAGACAGCAAGCTTGCGTTGGGTTCTTAGCCGTGGTAATTTATTGTCATCTTAGTTTGTAATACTTCAATTGCCATTTGATTCGAAATCGAATGATTTGTTTGGAAGTTAAGTTTGTCGTATGTTGAGTTTTTCGCATATTACATTTCTCACATGTCAGATTTGTCATATATTGAACGTTTGTTATGCTAAATTTCTTACATATCAAGTTCCTCACGTGTTAAATGCTTCATATATTAAGTTTTTCATGTGTCAAACTTCTCATGCGTTCAATTTTGTATATATTAAATTTCTGATACGTTAAATTTCTCATATGCTAAGTCTCTCAAATGCTAAATTTCTCATATATCAAGTTCCTCGCAGATTAAATGTCTCATATATTTAACTTCTCATATTTAGCAAATCGAATTTTGCTAGATCCATGAACTGCAAGAGGATCAAAAGAGCAGTAGCAATGAAAAATCTTGACCCTCCGATTTCTCTTTCACTAAGAAACTTATGTCGACTGTTATGGAATAATGATTAAAACGTCAATCGACACTAAACACGATAAAGTACTATATAATTAAAAGATAAACAACTGACGAATTCTTTCGCTGAAGATAGAATCAAATGAAATGTTCTCCGTGTTGAGGAATCAGATCCTGTAAGAAGTTCTTCGCCTACGGTGATAAGACGGCCGAGCAAATGGCACGAGACAACGAAAAGGACGAAAAAGAAGAAGAAAAAAAAGAAGGCACGGGCGGTCTTTCAGGAGCGTAAAACGAATACGACTACGGGAGGGGAAAGCACGACGCTAAACGTCAGCCCCGTTGCACTAACTTTAGCGGAGAAGTAGGCTGCAGCTGTTTGCTCCGACTCGTACGCCGTTGGTCGTTGAGTCAATTCATCTTACGATTTCGTGATCAACTTTCGTTCCGAGCTGTCGGCGCTTCTATTCAAGCTGTCACGCGATTCTGAATTCACCCGCAGCACCGTGTCCAAAACGAATATTTTCAACCCCGACGTATATTTATGAAGCCTTCTATCTTCTATCATAGATATTTCTTAGTGTCTGGCAAGTAATTCGAAACATCGAAAATTGAATTTCTGGTTCTGAGAGCGCAAGGTCACAGGTGTTACAACATTCCAAATGTTTCGAATGTTATGTTTATCGATAAGCCAATTTTTCTTGTACCACTCTATATGTATACGAAATTATTATCAGAATATTAATCAATCTCTTCTTAGATATTAGCGGCCTGCAGCTGTCAGGCAACTTGTCATTCTGTTTATATGCACTTGAGGTCCCAAGGCGTTACTAATATTCTAAATATTTTTCACATTATTTTGATTTATAAAACAATTTTTGTCGTATCATTATGTAATCATACCGAACTATTATCAGAATATTAATCAATTTTTCCTTAGATACTACTTCCATCTTGCAGCTATTAGGAAAATTTTCATTCTGTTTATATGCACTTGTTAATAATATTCTAAATATTTTTCATACTATTTTCATTTATAAAACAGTTCTTGTCGTACCATTATATAATCATACGAAATTACTGTCAGGATATTAGTCGAAGTTTCCTTAGACAATTCCACCTTGCAGCTGTCAGATGAATTTTCATTCTGTTTATACGCACTTGAGATCTCAAAGTGTTACCGATATTCTAAATATTTTTCATAGTATGTTTATTTATAAAACATTTCTTCTCATACCATTATATAATCATACCAAATTATTATCAGAATATCAATCGAATTTTCCTTAGATATTTCCACATTGCAGCTGTCAGATGAATTTTCATTCTTCCACACGCATTCGAACAGTTGCGTCCAAACGGATCGCATCGGATCGTGTTACAAGCAACCCGCTTCGATGGGTGAACACAATAATTCAAAAATAGATCGCTGTCTCTTTAAATCTTGATCGTCAACTTTGAACTGGCTCGTCTTCAACAAGACTGCAGCTCGACCAACGGCATTGAAAAGAACTTGCTCGCAGATAATTCGTAAATCGGCCGCGTTAATTATAGATGACGTATCGAGAAGCTTTTTTTCTCGTGGTTTCGAGCACGGTCCGGGAAAGATCCGCGATTATTTTTTCGCGCGGCGCGTTTCGGACGGACGATACGTTCGCTAAACGTTCTCGCGGGGGAGAGAAGCTAATATTCGGAAGCGGTAAAGCGTGGAAGGCTCGCGTTACTTTTAGAAATTCACGGGAATCACGTCTGTCGATCCAATCCGAAAATACAACGTCTCGTCGCGATGGCCCCCGGAGAAGCAACTTTCGACCCAATTCCTGTTTACCCTCGAAACTCGCGAGTCTTCCACGAAAAATAACAAACACGTGCAATTCCCGTGAAAATTGCAGCCTCTTCTCTGTTTAGAGATGGGTAGAATTTCATTCGAAGGATCTATGTCCAACGGACATCTTCGAATGGACGCTTGAATCCATAATGTGTCCGTAAATAAAGAAACTGAACTGATGAGAGTTTGTTGTGCAGGCAGAAAGAAGAAAAAAATGTTACACGAAGTTTAGTGGAAAGGATTTTGTTGCAATATTATAAGAAATATTGTAAGCAATATATGGACTGATAATATTATTAAAAAATATAGTAAATAATATATGAAATAATAATATTGTTAAGAAATGTTCTAAATAATACTATAATACATTACAATATTGTGTCCCTGAAACATATAACAACGAAGTTTCCATTGCACAAAGGTGGCATTTCGAACTGTAACTCAAAATTCTAGATAACAACATTCCATTGTATTGCTATAATCTACTACCCAACAACATTCCATTGTATTGCTATAATCTACTACCCAACAACATGGTATTGTAATCGTATAATCTTCTGTGACAAACTGCTACATACTCCAATACTTGTTCCCAACTCTAACAAAGCATTATCCACTATAAACCGAAGTTTATCCACTATTTTCCTGTTCTCACCTGCACAAGAAACCCTAGCAGGTTCGTTACTTAAGAACTAATAGTAACAACGATAAAGTTTTCCTTTCACTTACAACGTACAATTCCTATATAAATAAACAAACACATAAATAACTGGAGAACAAGTGAATGAACGATCACCAAGCAGAAAATCCGCAAACTCGATGTTCATTCATCGCAAAGGAGTGTCTATCCTCTAAAATGTTCAGCTCCGCTCTGCCAGTTTTCTTTCAAGCCTATTGTTCGTTGTTCCCAGCGCGGTACGCTGAAACAATGGACTTTCCCGCACGTAGCAGCTACGCACGTTCAGAAATCTTGCGAGAGAGGCCGACGGAAAGTCGCTGGTCGGCCTGAATCGTAATCGCCAGTGAACGACGACGAAGGATGGAAATAGAAAAGTAGAGGTTCCCGATTCTATTTCGACGCGGTGCTAGTCAGAGCCCCGTGTATGCGTGGGCAGAAGAAGAAGAAGAAAATTGAGCGATGGAGTAGAACCCCAAGCTTCTCTTATCGGACGCTGACGAACTCGCGCGCGTGAACGCGCCCAAGAATAGCAGGCATTCCGCGACGGTTATTTTCGTCGAACCGTATTTGACGTGCACCTAAACATTATCGACGAAACCACTCGTTGCGCTTGTAACGCGTGTTTCTCGCCTGTAAAATCGTCGCGCGAAAGGGTTCGTAAGGGTGCGTTTACGGCGGAGCTGCGGTAAACGATCGGGACTGCGATGAGAGCGAAGCTTGGAAACACGTCGCTTTCGTTTCAAATGGAAACTATGTTGAAGCGACGGAGCTGTGTCTAGTTAATTGATCGATAGACTGATGATCGATGGAGAACATCTGTAAATTGTAATGCTTCTTAGAATACTTGCCTAAGGAAAGTTAATATTGTAATTCTGATTGCTGGATTGTATTCTTAAAAATTGAAATTTTGATAAAGACCCGCAGCCTACAAGCATTGCGACTGGACGCTCTTTTAACACTGGAACTATCAAATCGAAGTTGACACACCTTGGATTTTTAAGATTTTCGAAAAATTCGCACGCTTTTCTGAGTTTCTTGGTAACTTGGATCGCTAATGTGCATTCGAAAGTATAAATCAATCGAAATGAATTGTACTTCGCGCGAAAAGATATGTCGTAGGCGATTTTTGATCGCTTGGTTGTCCTAGGGTTAAGGTGCGAATGCAGTAGCAATACACGTAACGTTGACGAGAAATTGAATTCTCTTTGGGTAGTAATGAAATGAGATAAAACAGAAGTGTAAACACTTCTGCGAGTGGCTATCATAAAAGAATGTTGCAGACTGTTTGTTTGCGTGCTTGTAGCTTTAGTTTCCATCGCAGCTCCACTGCAAATGTACCCTTAGACAAATTACAGATCCGACGCATACGGTTAAGACACACAAACCCAAACACACGTACACACACGAGCGAAAGCATTAGCAAGGATTCAAGCGACTCACCCTCGCCTAACCGGCTCCACCGCAGCTAAAAAGCAACAACAAGAAATATGCGTCATGATAAAGCGAGGTGAATAAAGCGTGAAATTGCGTGATCAATGAGAAACACGGTGTAAGCGTTCGACCCTTAAACCACCAAGATATACTATTATTCAATAGTATCGTTTCAATCGCAGATAGAATCATTGAAACTTTATAACAAATAAAGCACACGTTTTTTATTTCTCAAATTCAGACTTATTTCAAGTGGAGATTGTTTGGTTCCAACTTGACAATCAGTCCTGTACCTTTCCTGCATAAGGAAGTGTAAAAATTGACTTGAACCGAGAGAAAACGAATGATTGGTGGTCTAAGAGCTGGAAGTCAATGAAAATTAAAAATAAATTGAGCCCAGAGAAGCGACAAACGATAAAACTATTCGAAAAGGTCACAGATCGACGGACTTACTTCTCCCTAGGCTCGTCGACAGCTGTAAAACAACGAAATTCCGTTTCAATTCTGCCACTTGATTACGTCAAACATTAGAATAGTCGCGTAACCGCGTGACAAAGGCGGCGTATCATAAAAAAAGACAATTTCGATTTCAGGGGACACGGGTAATTCAAAATCGAAAGGGTCAAGAACACGTTTTCTCAATCGTTACGCTTCAGCTACCGGAGTTCAACTAATACTCTCCCAAACAGCATTACCAAAAACAACTCCAAATAATCGACAACAAACCCCAAAAGTTACCTACAAATTCACCGTAACCGTTACCGAGAAACCTTTTTCCTCAAAGGCCAACCAACCGGTAGCTAAAGCGGTAAGATTCATCCTCCGACTAACAATAACTAGTTCCGCGTTACGCAACAAGTATATTCATCGCCGTGGAGAAACAGAAGAAGACAAAGAGAAGATGGAAATGAAGAGAGACTATGAAGTACCGGCGACAAGGTCAAGCTGTATACTCACGACTGAAATTAAGGTTGATCGAGGCAGCGACCTCTCCCATCTTGTTTTTGGCCTTGACCTTGTACAGTCCGGCGTCCGTCTCGATAACGTCGTCGAGCTCCAGGACGACCAAGAATTTGTTCGTCCCGACGCTCTGCATTTTGAAGTTGGTCCTGCTGTCCGGGCTGAGCTCGGTGTCGCCTCGGTACCATGATATCTCCGGTTTCGGCGAGCTGACCAGTTGACACTCGAAGATCAGACGGTTGCCGTCGTCCTCCTGCCTGAGCTGCGGCTTCTGGGTGAAGCTCGGCGCGAAATCGTCGGCGACCCCCATGGTGACGGGCCGCCTGTTCGCACCAGCCTTCTACCGCGAAATTTCACGGGTGGCGAGCCACCCTCCTCCTCAACGGATCGAGAGCCCTAACCGGCCGGCTTTCGTTGCACCCGCTTGCGAAGAAAGTCGAGTTCCACGAGATTGGTTCAAACGGCGCCGGCCCGCGGCACCATCCAACCTCCCGTTACTTGCTGCCTCGGTCGCGAGGATCGCGGCCACGCCTCCTTCTGACGGTGTCCTCCTTTGATCTGATCGACAAGCGAAGAATATGTTCGATTAGTTATGTTTTCGTGACGTTTTTGGATGAGGTTTGACCGTTTCGTTACGATGGACGAGATATCTCGGGTTCACGGTGTCGAAGAAATGATGCTATGGACGGGATGTTTCGTCAGTGATGTATGATGGTATCATGGTGACGAGATATCTCGTGCGTAGCATCGTTTCTTCGACATTGTGGAACTGAGATATCTACGTTGAAGGGAAAGGGTTGAGGATGAGTGTTGGTGTACTGTCGATCGAATCTTGAGTAGTAGGAGCATTGGATGAGAATTGATATACTCTGAATTGAACGTTGAATGATAGTAATATTGTACTTGGATAATAGTAATCGGGTGCTTCAATATTACATGATAGTAATATTGTACTTCAATAACAGTAATTGAGAGCTGAAATATTACATAGTAGTAATACTATACTAAAGTTATAGTGTATACTTGAATAGTAGTAATAGTGTACTCTAATATTAAATAGTATTACTAGGATGTTGAAATAATAGTGATACTATACTTAAATAACAGAGAATACTGGGTAGTACTCAAATATTGACTACTAATAATGTTAATATTAATTTAAATACTAGTATTACAACGTTATTAATTATCAACATCATCGATCATAACATTAGTATTTAATGAATCCGAAAATCCAGGAATCCCACTTACACCACTATCATTCTGAACCACTCGCTTGTACATTCATAGTCCCCACATCTTCGTGAATTATTAATTCAAACGACGTTAATCATTCACAGAAACTCCCTTTAGAATTGTTTATTTAAAATTCCCTAGAACTTTCTACTTCTGCCACGAATATTGCTAATATATAACCACCAAAACTATATTTAAACGAAAAGTAAGTGACAAAATAACGAATACTCATTTACACTAAACGTACCGGCACTTTATATACACCTATTCCTACCGTCACCGGTCAAATAGCTGGTTATAAAATAAACGTAAATAAAATAAACGATACATTTACTAGTAAAAACAGAAACAATAGAAAAGACAAAAATTAAAAATACTGATTAATCGGGCCATATAAGAATCGGTATGAAGTTAACACTAGAACTGCTACACCAGTCAAAATGGTTAGTTTCGATACACTTATTTCCTAATTATTCACAACTTAAAAAGGGTGAATACTCGAAAGAATTTTGAAGACAAATAGTTCCATTCAAACACAATGAATATCTGAAGAAACTGAAAATAATCCATTGTCACAATTTTTATAAAAATTACATATCAATCACATTAAATGCTTTAGTTCTGTTGTCAAATGCTCAAAAGAAAATGGAGAATTCTTAATCAAATTCGACCGGCCGCGGTACGTTCGGCGTGAATGATCGAGGACAGAAGAATAATTTCTAAAAGAGGATTCCGGAAGAAGAAATCGGTTCACGGCGCTCTGTGGTTCGTTGTTTCGCCGTGGAATGCAAAACAAAGATACACACGGTCGCGCGATCTTTAATAGCGACGATTACGCAACGGTATCAAATTACGGAAAGTTTGGAGCAACGGACGAGACGGTTCTGTCTTCGTCATCGCGCGGGCTTTTCTGTATCAATTTTAGTCGGTTCTACACGCGGCGAGTACCTCTGTTCGCGCGCGACACTGTCTCATGGTCGTTAACGGGTCCGTGTCGCCGAATAGAAGATTAATCGCCCGAAAGATTAAGAAGTCGGACGGCGGGCTGGGATACGAGAAGAGAGTTTCTAGCTTCCAAATCGCCGCGATGCGCCGCCCGGGCCAAATTATTATATTTCCACGCGTTACATCCAAATTCGAGAAATGATATATTGCCGGTTACAAAATACAAAATTAGATCTTTATATAATTCGACGAGGAACTCGCTCCCCCTTCGTGCCGGGGTGTCGTGAATCTGCACTCGGGAATTCTCGCGTTGCCAATGTAACGCAACGTAAAAGCGTTCGGTCTAATTAGAATTGAAAATTAGTTGGAATCTTTCGATTTCGAGCCTAGATCGAGAAATTAAAGCAGAAGGGTTCAATGTAATTAAAATCGAAGTTGAGACGGGATTCTACCATTTCAAAGATAGATCGAGAAATTAAACCAGAAGGCTTCGCTCTAATTAAAATTGAAGATGAGACGAAATCCTTGGATTTCAAGGCTAGATCGAGAAACGTGATCAATGTGGCAGCATTTGATCTAATTAAAACTGTAAAAGAGATGAAATATTTCGATTCAGAGCCTTATGATTCAGAGAAATATGATCAATATAAAATCGTTCGATCCAATTAAAATTAACGACGAGATTTTTCAATTACGAATCTAGATTGAAAAACATTACATTCATAACGTAACAAACCAAACCTGTAACCTGTTATGTTAATTAATGATTTATTAGCATAGACTCTTACGATGATAACATTCTTTCGTTTCTATCGATTCAATCGAAATTCTCTACATCCATTATCATCGTATACTCGACAATTCCAAATCCTCCATTTCATATTACCCCCTGTGTGTAAATATATAAAACATTCAACTAACGTCTGTATTCGAGTTTACGCGTGATTTCCCGCGTTAGAATTGTGAAAGGTGTCATCGACGTTTCATCAGAAAAGGGTTAATTTCACTTTTCTCGTTTTACGGCCTCGCGAGTGCTTCCGACGAGACATAAACTTGCGTTTTGCGCAACCGGTTCACTCGGGAAGCCTCCCTTTAGAGGTACCAGGGTTCGAAGCGGGACCAAAGCATTGTCATTGATGGGACATCAGCGGGAACAATGGCCGAGAGACGCATGGGAATCGGGCCTGGCGGATTCTCGTGGAATCCGAGACTCCAAGCATATTTTCCAAGACGTCCAAGGTCGAACAGTGACGTAACTCCTCTATTATTAATGCGGCTCTTGGCTCGAAAATAGGTGGACCAGTTATCTTGGTAATCGGTTATTATGTTTGGCATCTAACCGTAGAAACTTAGACATTTAGGTCGCGATACAGTCCGCGAATCAAACGATCCGTTCTCGGTGGACGCACGATCGTGAACCGCGAGAAGATTTTCCATTCAAAGCTTCTGAACTGAAAACGAACCAACACATGGTGCACTCTCTGCTTCAAGGTACACGGTGATCCAGAAACAGGCATTTCCTAAGCGAAGTCCGTTCTTAATGTCTAACTTTCGAACAACTTCTTAAACATAGTGTTTTGTTCAAATATTCTATGAATAGTACAATTATATCAAAAAAATTTAAACAGTGTAATTATTATTACTGCTATTATTCATTCTAAAGGAAGTTCTAAAGAATCAAGTTGTTAGAACTGAAATTGTTTCAGTTGTCTATAGAACAGTGAAGAATATTTCGAAATTCAAGTCCTCGAATGATTTAAAAAGAGATAAGAAAATATAAGATGCTTCGAATTCTTTTTATAGAAAATTCATATGAAAATCGACGCTGCAACAAGTGGCAACATTTACGAGTTATAATCCTCCTTCTATGCCACTTGTTGCGACTCGAATGCTGATTTTAATAAATCCTTGAAATCGATGATTCAACCTTGAATAAGTTGATGGTCGGTCGTTCGAACGATTGGATCGCTTGGTAATGATCGCCGAAGGAACTTCGCGGGTGAAGTTGTTTTTAATTTTGGCGACGGAACACCGGTCTCCGGGCCACTGTGCGATGGGCCGGAGTAACGCGAGGCAGAACGAATGGACGAAGTGTTACAACGTCACGGTAAGACTTGGCAGCGAGCCCCGAAACATTCCCGAGATTGCTGCGCTTCGTAACAACCGTTCTCATTCTATCCCTTCTCTCTCTGCCTCCCGTTTCGTTTCGTTTTCATTTTCGTCCGATTCCGCTAATTTCGCACGCGTCGCCGACGACGCCGATTCTGATCCAATTAACCAGTTCCGCGGTAATGAGCCGTGGCTCGTTCGCGAGAATTGCGATTCGACTTCCTAGAAACGATTGAAAGGAAACTGTTCGACCCTTTGCGAGCCGAATTGAACGAAACGCGATCCGGTCATTGGACTGCGACTCTTTTTTATGTAAATTGATATGTTGTTTCTAATATGTTTTACGCATTCATACATTTTCATTATTTTATCTTCATTTTATTTTGATTATTTTATTTTGATTCGTTTCTATCTTATTTTTATTTCACTTTAATTTCCCTTTTACCCATTTCGAAAACTAATTTTGCTCGCGTGAGTCAGTCAGAAAGTTTTCACGTTGAAAAACTTGAAGAAATTGGTAGCAAACTTTTTTTACAGGTGTATAGAGATTAATTACCTATTAATTAGACGTTATAGATGAAAATTGAGAGGTAACAGTGAATTAGGTTACAAGTGAGCTGTAACAGTGGCTCATTATCGAATTAATATCGTCGCTATTACCGTGTAATTGAATTACATTGTGTCCAACGCCGTTTGGCAGCCTCGAACGGTCGATCCATCAACGATGATATCATGATTCATGAAAATAGGTGATCCCGAACGTAATGTCTGTTTAAAAGATACTGGTTTCATATAGTTACGAGTAACCTCGGTAATAATTGTCACAGTTACAATGTTATATTAAACGCGATGTATCTCGCTTATGAAATATCTCGAAAATGCGACGGAGCTCATCGATTTCCTGAATGCTATGCCAAGCGTCCCGACTTTAAATAAGAACGTATGTAAAATTTATTTGGCTTCTACCGCGAAAAATACGAACATTCTGATTGCTGCTAGTGTGCGATACTGGCAATGGAACTGTTGAATATTTGAAAAAATAGTTTAATCGATAATACTTCGAAATGGTCATATATATTAACGATTGTAACTCGATAAGAAAAATGCTCTTGAGTAGTAACTATCGATTATACAGTGAATTTTGAGAAGAGTGAAATCTACGAGACGTTTCTACATGTAGAAAAAGAATAAAACTTTCATTTTAGAATTCATATTTTAAGGAACATGAAATTTGAAAATTCGTTGAGCGCGAACGTACCGGTGTTTAC